TTCCCCCCCTTATAACAATACATTAGATAAAAGATAGAAAGAGTGTATCGTTAATTTCAATTAAATCATTATAATAAAATGAAAACTACCATTAGTACTGCTACAACAAGTGACATTGAACTGCCACATACTTTAGTAATACCAGGAACTTCTGTATTTGCATCTTTTAAATCATAACCGTTATCACACTTTTTACATTCTGTAGAAGTACATTCATCACAATTAGTGAAAAAGTTATGACACTCTAGTGATCAGTTTTATATAAAACTAAATACCACCCACTAAACTATAAAAAAATAAAGGCAAACCCATACATACAAAGTTTGACATTTTTACATATCCTTCAACACATTCATCGCACCCAACAGAGCCAAAAGTTTTACATCCAATAAATCGGCTTTTTTCAACACACAACCCTGTTTGAGAAATAAAATAACCATCATTACATTCTGAACATTTGTTGTCTGTTCCATTAACACATGTCATGCAATTAGAAACACTACACTGAGCAAGGGTAACGGCAATAAACAGTATTATACCTTCGAATTTCATGTTTTAATTGACTGAGTTCTTTTCTTCAAAGAACTATTCACACTTTATCTTTTTTTTTCTTATTTCTTCTATAGCTTTTAAGAATTTTCTTTTGCTTCTTTCTAGAATTTTTTTGTTTTTTGTTTCTAATTTTTTTGTTTTTGTATTTTTTGATATTTGGCTATTTAGCTTCTTTCTTCTTGTTCATCAGATAAGGTATTTATTATTCTTTCTTTAGAGCTAAGAGTTTCCAACTTAAATCATAATTGATTTTAACTTTTTTTAAACACTCGCCTTTAATTAAAATAGTGTTTTGTTGTAAATATTCTATTCCAGTTCATGATTATTTCACCTTTCCTTTAATGGAATAACAAAATAATCATCTATCGTATATTGCTTTATATATTATTATTTTATTCTTTATTATTGTTATTATGGACGAATATGTTAAGAAATAATTAGAAGAGTGATGTATTATTGTACAAGAGAAAGTGATATAAGAAATAACATTTAGATAGGTGGTACTCAAAGAATGGGGTGTTAAATAAAATTGACAAACCGAAATAGAATAAATAATAAAAGAAATGATTGAAAATAAAAAGAATTAATAATAAAAATAAAATAATGATAAACAAATACATTAATAAATTGAAATCAAACAATGGATATTTTAGAAGATGGTTCGAGTCAAAATTTGTAGATAAAACTACTACAGGAGATGTATGAAAATCAACCAATATTAAGAAGAATGCATTTTTCCATTTAACTAAAATATAAGATAGAGTAATATTCAGATGTATAGAAAAGATAAAGCATTAAAAAAATGATTAAAGTAGGCAACACTTTGTAAATACAAGATAACCACAGTAGAACACAATCTACTATCTTGTATTATTCATAAAAAAATCACAAATTGAGAAACATGACAATATTTGTATTATCATATTAGATAATAAGAAAATATAAATGAAATAATCAAAACAAGAAATCAACATATGAAACAATGTTCCAATACAATGACAATACAATGATATTGAACAAATAAATAATATCAAAAAATGAATGACATATCATAAAATACCATATATATGTATTAGATAAAAATAATAAAACTGATCTAATATTTGATATGAATATTGTTGTACATCATAATATCAATGGAGTATATTTGAATAAAAGATATATATATATATATATATACAATGAAATAAAAAAAATAAAATAAAGAAGAGAAAATAAGAGTTATCAAAATAATTGCAGTAGTAATTTCAATAAATGGAATAGTAAATGCAGAAAGCATTAAATTAAATAAAGAATTAAAAATTGAAATTAACATCATAAAAGACTTAAAACATTGCAACAAAAAAATATGAATGATCTCATTGAACATTATTTCTATCATAATAAAACATGTTTTATTGAACTAATTAACAAAAACAATAGTATTAGTCTTACCAAAATAAGGAACAATAGATAGTAATTCTATTGATACTTAATTAAATAGTTTTTGTTAGTGATTAAAACGTAACCATTTTAGTAATAATTAATAGTAAGGTAAAACTAATCTAATCTTATACCATTAACATAATCTTCGTTTGATGTTCTTTATACTCAAAGAAAGGAAATAATAATATAACTTTATAATTTTCTTTGTTAATAGAAAGAACTTATAGAAAAATTTAAATTTAAAACCTTATAATATACAAACGTTAAAAGATAAGGATATACTACTTACCCTCATTTTAATAAATAAAATTGGTTTCTACTATCATTTTTCATCATTCCAATTAATTTTCCTTTTTGTTTTTTCGTCATATTTTTCATGACTTCATTTTAAATATTTTATGTTTAATGACTCTTAAATAATGTTGATATGTTTTTGTATTTCAATTACTTCAATAATTCTTTGGTTATAACTATTTCTCCCATTTTAATTTTATATTTATAGTCTCACAAGTAATTAAGTGATTAATAAAGATAATTCCATTTCATAATAACAGTAAATTACAAATTATAAGAATAGTTATCCAAACAAATAAGAATAAGATTATAAAATTGTATAAATAAAAGTTAAACAAATAATAAATATTATTCATAACGTTTATATTAATATGGATTATTTTACATCCTTAAATATAAAAATATTTTAGAGTTAAATTTGAATGCAAACAAAAATAATACCAAAGATAGAGAATAAAAATAAATAATTCTAAAGATCTATTTTTTCAAAATAAATATTTTTAAAGTTGATTTTTTTTGGAAAAGAGATAATAATACACTAACAAAAAAATACAATAATGTCTATGAAAAAACTAAATTATTATTTTTTATGATACGGAAGATTTGGAATAATAAAAAAGAAAACAAATCAAAAAAGAATAACATAAATAAATAAAAAAAGAGAACAACTTTTATTTAAAAAAGAAGTAAATTAAGATAAATTATTTTTGATATTTAATGTAAAAATAATTTTAAGATTTATTCTCAATTTAAAAGATGGCTAGTATTTCAGAAATTGCTGTAGAATATCATAGTGCTCATAAAGGAAATTGTTCTCAATCAGTTGCGTATGGTTATTCAGAGGCAACAGGAAATAGAAAAGAACTTATCGAACAATTGTCTGGATGTGGAGGAGGAAGAGCTCCAGAAGGCTATTGTGGTGCCTTATATGCAGCTATTCAAATCCTTGGAGAAGACAAAAAAGAAGCATGTATTTCCAAATTTAAAGAATCAAGTAATGGATGTACTAAATGCAAAGAAATTAGAGGTAGTAATGTTATCCCATGCAGAGAGTGTGTTAGGGCTGCTGCCAAATGCATTGAAGAATTAGCATAATTTTATTCTTTTCTTTAAAATTCTTTTAATTCACATTTTCTCTTTTTTGTGTAGAACTAACAAAAATCCATTTAATGAAAATTTTATTGTTGTGTTTTTTCATGGTGTTTATGTGTTGGGGGTTTGTGGTACGACCATCCAAAATCGTAAAAAATAATGTTGTTATGAAATATTTCATTTTAACAGGGCAGCCCCATGTTGAACTAACAGCAGACTTTGAAATGAAAGAACAAATTTCATCATTCTCATTCTTCTTTTCAAATGAATTTTCGAATCATCTTGGACCATTTTCATGTATTTTTGATAATGGCACAGAAAAAAATATTGCATATGTTTTAGAACAGTTTGTTATATTTGACATATTTATTAGATATTAACTTAGTAGACCATTTGAAGAAGGAAATAAAAAGGAATTTGAGGTATTATTGCATGGTTCTCATAAAGGAAAAATTGTATGTAATTTTGATATAGTTGGTGAACTACATGGAATAGGAGTTAAATCTAATATTAATGATCCTGATTTAATGCAGTTTCGAGGAATAATTATGCCTCAGTTATATAACCAAGCAAAAGAGGTTAATACATATATTTATTTATTAAAAAGGGATATTGTTGATATCCATTGTGTTGTAAACCCAAAAATTGATTTAACTCAAGTACATTTCCATTTAACTAACCCAACCTCAAAAACAGAAATTCCTTTTCAAATTAAGTATTTTACAAATACCACAACAATAGAAGTTGAACGAATTATTGAACATGACTATATTCAATTTACTTCAAACTCTCATCTAGTCTCATTGAGAAAAGAAATAGATTTCATCAATATCTCTAACTTAGGTACACCTTTATATGAATTTATTCTAAATGAAGTTCAAGCAAGTCCCCATAGCGTTTATGATTTCTTTCTTCGTTTACCCTTATCAATTTCATCTTTTCATTTTTATGACTCCTCAGGAAATATTTCTACCTCTTCATCCTTTTGCTCTTCTTATACCTGTACATATAATCTCATAGGAAGATATCCTTTGTTAGGTAATTGGAAAGAATCTTTCTCTATTTCTTATGAACAATTAATTCCATTTAATTCAAAATTTGTTTTTCCTATAAACCTAGCTTTAGAATCAATTTCTGTTCGTAATTATGATATTCATATTCACTTTCCTAATGGTATGAAAATAAGAAAGGTAAAATGTAGCGTTTATAATCTCTGTGATCATTTCAAATATACTGTGCCATTCTTAAATTATTGGACTTTTGACAATACTGTCTTTCATTTCAAAAATCTTGACATTACTTCATTTCACCAAACAGTTTGGTTTGAGTATGCATTAGTGAAAGAAAATTATGGATATTGGGTTGTGGCTTGTCTCTTCCTGATATCATTCTTTTTATTAATTTTCTTTATCACTTTGCTAAAACTATTAGAACGAAACGAATGGAGAGATTGGATTTATGATAAGCTCATTAACAGAAAAAATGATTAATTTTATTATGGACTCACTTGTAATAAGTGTATGCAAAGCGCTAGATGATTGTATGTGCCAATCCTCATCCCCAATACTTTCATTTATTCAAACTCGTTTGTTTCTTTTTTTTTTTAAAACCATTTCTTTAGAAAATTTTTATTAACAAAAAGCTCTTGGATGTGAAATTATTATTGAAGATAAAGGTTCAAATAAAAAACAATGCGTCCATACTACCTTATCAAAGAATTCAATAGAACCAACGATCAAAGAGATTGCAACTCGCTATTTAAAATTACAACTACTCTCATTGCATATGGATGACCTCACAAAAAAAGAATTTATTTCTAGTATATTTGAAATTGATGCAAGTTATTCATCAACAATAAATTCAACCACTGTCCATATATTCACTACCTGTCAGTCCCTTCCGTTGAATCTCTTTTTGTTTGTAAATAAGAAACCAATTATTGACATGGACGTCATAAATAAAATTATCACTCAAATTATATCAACACCAATAGAACCTCTTGTATTTTATGATAACCAATTTATTTCTCAATGCTCAGTACATCCAATTAGTGCAATTATTATTGACTGCATAACTCTTAAATTTGAGGACATTCAAAATTGCTTCCAGAATACTTTTAAAGAACTTATTCACCATAGACAGATTGACTCTACATTAACAGAAAAACTTACATTATCAATATCACAAATAATACAATCAAGTCCAAATAATTCATTTAGTTATGAGTGCAGTCTTTTGTTAGGAAAAAATCCCACCTTAAATTTAAAAGCACTTATTAATGGAGCATTGTATGATGGTTATACTAAATAAAATAATCAATCTGTTTAATAATACAACATATTCTATCATATATATTAATTATATTGTTTATCTCTTATCTTTCATTACTTTTTAAAAAAAAAGGAAATGATGATAAAAACAATAAATTAGAAGTTGAAAGAGAATTGATTTTGATCAATAATAAGTTCTCCATTGCTTTGAAGAACACTACTGAGTAAATTGTGATTAATTTCAATTAAATCCATGATTAAGTTATCAAATGGAATGATTTTATTTGAAATATAGATTCCAGTGATATTTTCAAGTCTGTTAATTCCAGATTTTCCATCTGTTATTTTAGTTTCTAATTCAACTCCATATTCACGAAGAATGTCTTCCATTAAATGAATTACTTCGATTTTTTTATTGTTTTGATATCTCCTTATTGCTGTTTTCTCAGTCACTCCTCGTTGAATGTCAAACAAGTACATTTCATTACATCGTTTTTTAAGGAATGAATAAACATCTAATTTATCTTCATCATGTTCAATTGAATTAATTCTGAAGAATTGTTCAGTTACACAACTTCTTCTAGTTGGTTTTTTAATAGTTATACGACACCATTTACTTAAAAGACAAATACAAAGTGTTTGTTGAAGAGTGAAATTGTTTCTAGCTTCTCTTGATGCTCTTAATACAGGAATTCTTTTTTCAATAGGTGTTTTACATACTCTGTTTTCATTACCATTAATTTTAATTTCAGGTGGAAGAGTACAACCTCTAATCCCTTGTTCTTTTATTTCTTCGATTTCAAACTTAAATGGATTAAACATTATTTGTTCTTTTTCAATTTTGTAATCTTGTTAAGTATTCTTAATCTCCTGAATTCATTTCTTTTATTCTTTTTATTTTTGTTTCTTCTACTCTTTATCTTTTCGTTTTTGTTATTTTATTTTATACTCCTTCTTCTTTTCTTTCTTCTTTTATTACATTTTTGATTACTTTCTTTTATTCTTCTTCTATTTTGTTTTTCCGGTGATTATTTTTTAACCCCTTTTTTACTTGATATATCTTCTTTTATTTATATTTTCTCTTTGTATTTGTTTTTCATAAACCACCTTCTTCTTTATTTTCTTCTCACTTAGTTATAATTTCTTGTGTTGTGATTCTTTGATATCGTTATTTCTTGTTTATTGTTTATTCCCCATCAGACTAATACCTATACATCTTATTTACGATACTTTAGTTCTTAATAATCATAGATATCAGATGGTTTATTTGTGTTATGTTCTGTTCAATATAATAAAAGTTTTATTTTGTTATGAACATTGGTTGTTTGGTGAGAATGGTAATAATAAATATTTTATGTTGTTTATTGTTAATAGACAATTAAAAAGACAAGTGAGTGTATCAAGATATAGTGAGAAAGAATGAAGTAAATAATGTGTTATGGTTGGAAAGGAAAGAGAAATTAGATAAATGATAAACATTTTTGATTTAAGAAGAAAAAGAAAAATAAAAAAGAAACAGAAAAAACAAATGGAAGGGAAGAGAAAGAAGAAGACATTAACAGAAGGAAATCAAAGTAGAATACTAAAAACAAAAGAAGAAAGAAAACCAAAGAAAAATGGAGGGAAGAAACAAGGGACATTGATAGAATCATTTGCAAATGATCTTGAAGGATCAAAATTCAGATATATCAATGAAATACTCTATACATCACGTGGTGATCAAGCAAAACATTTATTTGAAGAAAAACCGGAATTATTTGAAGAGTATCATCAAGGATATGCCAAACAAGTTGAACATTGGCCTATCAATCCATTAGATGGAATTATTGAATATATTAAAAAGAATAATCAAATTCAACACATTGTTGATATGGGATGTGGAGAAGCACGATTATCACTTGAGTGTAAAGACAGAATAGTAGAATCATTTGATTTGTACAAAGCAAATGAACGAGTTAAAGTAGCAAATATCACAAAAGTACCAATTCAAAAAGGATGGAGTGATGCAGTTGTGTTTTGTTTATCACTAATGGGAACAGATTTCCATTTATTCTTAAAAGAAGGGTTTCGTATATTAAAGCCTAATGGATTAATGATTATTGCAGAACCAATTAGTCGATTAAAATCTATTAAAGGGTTTATTAATGGGATTGAACAACTTGGATTTGTAACAATTAAAGAAGATGAAAACAATGTTTTTGTAATGCTAGTTTTCCGTAAAAATGCAAAAAATTATGTGTTAAACCAAAATCAGATGGAAAAGTTAAAGAAGAAAGTACATCTTTCACCTTGTCTTTACAAGAAAAGATAATATTTTTGATTGACTATTTTATGGGTTATAATTATTTTTAATTTTAAATAATGTCATGTTGTCAAACGTTCTTTAATATAACTCAATTAGAAAAGGAAGAACAACATTAGTGCAATAATTGAAGCAATTGAGAATGCTCCATTTTTACACCACGTATACTCTCCGTCATCACATTTTCCACATTTTTCATCCCAATCATCAATATAAGGGGACTTAGTGCATTGAGAATCTTTAAACTTAACAGTGACAATTTGTCCATCTTTAATTCCATGTCTTTTTGAATTATCAAAATCATCATCATCTAAATAGCAATTAGAGGTAATGTATTTCTTAATAATTGGAGCATTTTCATTAAATGTATTTGGACATGATTTGTAATCTTTAGTAGTAAATGCAATATAAGGTGGTAGAGTACCATTAAAGGGAATAACAGTATCAAAGACTAAATCATCTTTTTTTTTAATAGTACAAGAACTATCACTATATTCGCTTTTAAGGTAATTTCCTGATACGCTAATCATGCTGTATTTTATATATTCATTATCTTTAGGGTCATCAACATAACAAATGGAAGTATCAACAACTTTGTATTCAACAGGAAGTTGGTTGAGACCCATCTTTTCTACAATCATAATTGTTTCTGCAAAACAAGTAGCGATTAGTAAGGTGAAGAACATTTTAGATTTTTAAGATGATTATCTTTATGATATATGTTTTTCAACTTCTATTTTCATCTTTTCCATTATTCAGAATGAAATAGAAGAAAATAAACTCTTCTGTTCTGTGTTTTTTTCCATAAAAAACAAATTGTTTTATATATAGAGTTATATAATGAAGAATCTATTCTTTTTGATTTTTTCTTTCAATAAAACCTATAATAAAGTTTATTTTTTATGATACTCATTGAATAGAAGAATGGATGAATTACATTATCCCTTTAAAAGATTGATTGTGTTCCTTTTATTAACACGTTAGACTATAAGCTCAATTAATGAGATAAATAAAAGACTTTTTACTTTATAAGAACTTTTTAAAAAATGGATCTTTCAAAGTATGGTTTCAAAACAATTAGAGTCTAGTTTCTTAGTTTTATACTTTTTCGTTCTTATTTTATTAACTACAAAAAGAAATAGAATTACTTTTTTATGAATAAGATAAACAAATTATAAAGTTTAATCAAATCATTTAACTACTTTTGATTATTCATAGAATAGTATTGAAATTAATAATAATTCCAAAGAATAATTATTTTAAATTAATGGTCATTGTTAAAAAATAAATAGTATCAATTAAAAGGTTTTAAAAAGTGTTTAAAATGTATGTTAGAGAGTTGTTTATGTATTTTTATTTTTCAAGACAGAATAAAACACTAGTATTTTTAACAACATAAAAGAAATTGAAAAAAGAAGTGAGAAGAAACAGAAATGAAAAATTGTTTAAAGATATAATAATTACACACAAGGATTGTTCTTTAAAAATCGATCATAAAAAATAAATAAAGAAGAAAAATTATGAATGAAAACAGACTAACTTAAAAAGATCAATTATTTAAAATGTTTGAAGGTCTCATTGCAGATTTTCTTACCAAAACTATTGGAAAATACATTGAAGACCTTGACATAAATTCAGTGAGTGTGTCACTTTGGAATGGAAATGTTCAGTTAAAAAATCTGCAAGTAAAAAAAGATGCGTGTTCTTCATTTAATTTACCAGTTATTATTTCAAAGGGGATTTTAAAAACATTAGAAGTTGAAGTTCCTTGGAAAAGTATTAAAACCGATCCATTTAAAATTAAAATTAAGGGACTTCATATTATTTCACAACCACAAACAGTTTTTGTATTTGACGCAAAACAGTATGACTTAAAGAATAAAGAACATAGACAAGAAATTATTGATAGGTTTGAGATCATTCAACAAATTGCTGAAACAAAAGCAAGTGGAGATGAGTCAGGGGTTTGGACAACTCTTGTAAATAAAATTATAGAAAATTTAGAATTAGAAATAGAAGATATTAATTTTATTTATAAAGGTGATCAAAATGAAGGTGTTATTGGGTTTCATTTAAATTCAATTATTGTAAAAAATAGTACATCTATTACAGACACCATTAACAAAACCTGTCAACTTAATAACCTTAGTATTGTTTTATATGATGAATCAAATGAAATACCTGATAAAGAAGATAAACAACAAAATGAAGAAGGATTAAATTCATTTGATTTAATGAATAAAACAGTGTTAGCAACAATCCCATCCTTTCAGTTTAATCTTTCTATTGAAAAAACAATGAGACATAAAATTACTCTTGAAGGTAAAATACAACAAATCTTTTTTGCATTGAATAAAAAACAATATGGTAATGTAATGCATATAGTAGAACGAATGACAAATTATACACAAACAATTAAATACTTATATTGTCGTCCTACAGTTTCTGCATTAGAACAACCTAAAAAGTGGTGGAAATTTGCATTTATTGCCACTAGGGATTATCTGAGAGAAAGAGAAGAAGAGAAAAATCCTATTAGGTTTGATTTTTGTTCTACACAACGAGAACGGTTTATTGAATTATTTAAGAAAGTTAGAAAAATTCCATGGGTCATACCAGCAACAAATGATGAAGTTGAAGAATATAATTCAATTGAAAATCAATTAAGAGTTCAAGAAGTTTGTTATCTTAGACAAATTGCTTATAAAATTGTTTCAGAAGAGAAAAAATTATATGAATCAACAAGAGGATGGTTTGGATTTGGATATCAAATACCAGAATTAAGTGAGGAAGCAATTAACCAAATATATAATGCTATTGACTATAAACACGAAGAGTATACATTGCCTCCTGAAACAATTGTATTTGAGATTAAAACAATAATACAAATAATACAAATTAAATTAAATGATGAAGATAAGGTTATTTGTAAAATGAAAATAGAGAATATGAATATTGGATTTGAAGCACGAGTAATTGGATTAAAACTTAATCTTAGCTTTGAGAATGGAGAAGTTAAAGAAAATAAAGTTGGTCTTGGTAAAATTTGGACTAAGTTAACAGATGAAAAATCATTTAAAATGGAATTTGAACAAAGTCCTATTGATAAACATTGTGATGCTATTATTAGTATAGACTGTGCACCTTCTGTAATTAATTGTTCTAAAGGATTTTTTGATTCTTTAGTAGATTTTTTGACTTTACCAACAAACCTTAATTTAAATTATGTTAAACAATTTGCTGAATATCAATTACAACAATTATATTCTTCTGCTGCAAGTCAAATAGACATATTTGCTGATGAACCACCTTTATTAGATATTAGAATTAACTTAATTGCACCAGTAATATATTTTTATTATGATGGAAAAGAAAAAGGAATGAATAATAATATTGCATTATTTCAATTAGGAAATGTAAAAATAACTAATTCACAACGAGATGAGAATTATCAAAATTATAGTATTAGAATAGATGATGTTTTAATTAAATTTTTAGATTCTATTCAAGACCAATTCGATTCAAAAAAAAATATTGTTGTTCAAAAAACTGGAGCTACTCTCCAATTATCAACACTTTACTCTTCAGAACCAATACCAAAAATTAAATTAAGAGTTAGTATTGATCCATTCATTGCTCAATTAAGTAAAAGAAAATATGATAAACTCATTGCATATATTTATCTTTTATTATCTTTCTTTCCAAGTAATAATGAAACTACTATTAATACAAGTCAAACTGAAGATGTAGATGTTGTTTTAGTAAAAGAATTAGTTAAAAAACAATCTGAAATTTCATATTTTACTGCTGATATTAATATTCCTCAATTTCATGTATTATTATCTCGAATGAATGACATAACTGAAGAGTCAATAATGACTTCTGTTAAAATAGAAAGAAGTATATTTGGAGTGAATGCAACACCATCTGCAATAACTATTAATATTAATCTTGGTCAATTAATAATGGACAATGGATATAATACAGAGATACCTTATTTAGTTACTTCTGATATACAATCTAAAACAATTCAAAAACATTTAAGAGAAGAAACAGAATCTCTAATAGGATTTGACCAACCATTTTTACAATGTGTGATTAATATTATTGAAAATAAAGTTAGTGTTGATGTTGCTATTGACACTTTTACTCTTATTTATGAACCTCAAATTATTAGTGAAATTATTATTTTTTCTATGTCATTAACAATGTTACCTGAAAGTGATTCAACTACAGATTATATATATAATATCAATATCAATTTATCTCATTTCTATACCATTTTCCAATCAGAAATTGCAGTTTTAGCAATATGTTATTTTGATGGACTAAATGTTCAATTAAATATGGATAGTAAAATAATAGATCTTACACTCAAAATAAATGAAATAGATTTAAAAAATACATTATATAAAAAAGAAGATCCAAGATATACTTCTATTGTTTCAGTTGGTAATCAAGTATTTTTATTACATTATATTAATGGAACTAAATTATCTGATATTTTAGAATTAAAGATTGGAGAAGTTATTTGTAATTATGTAATGAATGATTTTTTTAAGATTATTAACGTAATTTATAATGATCAAGTAAAGAAGGCTATAGACCTTACATCTGTACAAAAGAAAATAGAAGAACAATATGAATATTTAAAGAAAACAGTTACTTCTTCATTATTGGATATTAAAAAAGAACCAAGAAAAACAACTGATATAAAAATTAAAGCACCTACATTAATAGCATATTTACCAAGTGGACAGGTTATTGTTAGAATAGGAGCTATAAATATTGAAGATGGAAATAATGGATGGGAAATATTATTTGATAAAATGAAAATGACAACAAATATTAATAGAAAGAAAGATAGATGTATTAATGATTTTACTTTTTCAGTGAATATCCCATTAGTAGAAAAAGGAAAAAAGCTTACTATTGTAACTGAATTTCCATGTGCTGATATTGCATTATCTCCCAATCAATTTAAGTTACTTCTTGATTTTGTTAAAACATTCTTTAGTTCAGATCAATCAAATGAAGAAAGTCAAAATATTAAAAGAATTGAATTATGTAAATTACCTCCAATATCAAAAAATATTAGTTTGAGTATAGGAATTAGTATTAAACAATTTGAAATATCAATTAAAGAAGATTGTGAAATACCTAATGGAGTATCTAAATTATCATTAAATAATTTTATTGGAAATGTTGATTTAACTGATAATTCATATGCAATATTTCATTTTACAACAGATAATCTTATGATTGTTGATACTAGAATAAAAGTAGAAATGGAAGAATATAGAAATATATTTAAGAAATCTAAAATTGATAAAATTCTTACTGTTGTTGGAAATTATTCTATCCAATATGGAAATATTCAAAGTAATATAGATCTCTATTCTTCTTCATTGATTCTTACTCCTCAATTTATTACTAAATTAATTAATACATTAAATATAATGTTTGATGGAAACGACATCATCTTAGTAAATCCAAATGATGTTTTACTTCATCCTTCAACCAAAGTTGTTGTAAATTGTAAAACAGAAGAAATTAACCAACAACTCATAACTGAAGAACATAAGAATGATTTCCCGGAAACACAACCAACAATTAATAGTAAACCAAGTAGTAATATTTCATCCCCTCATAAAAACAGTATTCTAGTAAGTTTCAATAATTATAAAAAATTAGAATCAACTAATTCTCAATACATTAAAGAAAATCTTATTCACCTTGGAGATGATCAGGATCCATTCAAAAATACGTTCATTAACAAAGGGCTAAAAAGAAAAAGTCAAACACCTTCCGAAATAATTAAATATTTAAATGAGGCATGTCCAATGGAAATGACTTTTGCTGAAGTAATTCTTGTTTTAAAAGCAAATTATGAATGGTCATATCCTCAATATGTTTGTGAATATATATGTGAGGAATTAGTAAAAATTGGTGTATTAGTTCCTACTGTCCCTATGGGTCCTCATATTCCTAATATTGATTCTTCTATTACCTATGTCACTCGTAATATTCCAAATGTTGATACTTTTCATATAGACTTAACAAGTTTTCAACCTTGTAGACCTATTTCAAGTGCAATTTCTCCAGACCAAATTCATGTTTTCACAGTATCTTTACATGACACTGCTGTGATTGCAGTACAAGATGATTCTCCTAACACTGCGTTATTACATGTAACTATTGATGCAACAGTTTGTCATACTGTTACACAATGTGGAAGTACGTCATTGGCTGAACTCAATATAATCGATGTACGGTCATGCTTTTCTCGAGGACACCATTTTGATTTAAAAAAAGGAATTCAATTAAGTCAAGGTATTTCATTATCAACAAGTATTATTAGAGAAGGATGGGATAATTGGTTTGGAATTAGAGGAAGTGTTACAGTAAATAATGCTGAACTAATAACAACATTTAGTGATTGGAAATTAATATTATATTTTATAAATTTATTAGGGAAATTTGGGGGAGAACCTAATTATGAAATAGATTCTGAATGTTCTATTAGAATAGATTTAAATGGATTTAAATTAATAGTTGGTAATCCATTAAGAAAAGACCCATTATTTAGAATGAAAATACCAAGTGCAACTGTTGTCTATAGATCAAGAAATGATGATTCAATATTACGAGTATTAGGACAAATTAAAGTAGATGGATATAATCCACAAACAAGAGAGTATGATGTAATGCTTGAAAAAACATTAATGGAATTTAGTAGAAGATCAGTAGTAGATTGTATTCAAGGAAGTATAGTGAATAGAATTTTAACAAATATTGATTTAGGAAATATTGAATGTATATTAACTGTTGATCTTATGAAGGAAATGAAACGAGTATTTCAAACTGATTTTTGGACACCAAAAGAAGAAAACCTTGATTTTATTCCAATTCAATTTATTGATGAATATTCTGCATATGAAAAAGATAGTTTAATGGTATCTATTACAAATTGTGGAGTGTTAAAATTAAATAATAAATTACAACACTTTGAGAATATGACTTTAAAAAGAGAATATACAGAACTTAAGATGTGTATGGTTTTTACTCCAGAAGGAGAGGGAATCGAAGTTCCAATTGTTTGTGAAGGAGAATATGTACATAAACTAAGAAGTGGTTATTTGGTCATTTCAGTAATTATTCAACAAGATTCTTCAAAAATTATTAAATTTAGTTCATTATTAGCTATTCAGAATGACTTTGAAGAAGAACTATTCATTTCTATTCAAATACCAAATCCAAATCCTATAAGAATTAATAAACTTAAAAATAATCCTCATGGACTTTTTGACACTCCACGAACTCCAAGACATAGACTAGGAAGTAATAGTACTCTAAAAATTCATTCTACAAATATAGAAACTACTCCTCGTCGAAGGCTCTTTAGTGCTTCCGATAACTTTATACAACAAAATAGTGATTTCTCTCAATTAAAAAATTCATTAAATATAGAAGATAGTCAAGAGGAAATACCTGATTTTATTGAAGTACAGGCTTCAATACCAAGTAAAGGAATTTTTTATATTCCACCTCAATTCTTTAATGGTCAAATATCAATATGTTCATCAAGACTTTCTAATTATAAAATGCCTTTGAAAGATCTTATGACTGAAAAATATGTTGAAGTAAATTCAAGTAAATGTATTTTAACTCGAATAACTACAAGAGAGATTGTGGGATTTACTCAAACAACTATTTCTCTTGCCCCATCATTAATTGTCACTAATCTTCTTCCAATGCCATTTTCATTAAAAACCCCAACAAGTGTATTTCCAGTCCAATCACTTAGTTCTATATCAACGTTTATCAATCCAGATTCACCAGTATTTATTACTATTGCTGGATATAATAAAACATTAATTCCCAAGAGTGGAGAATTAAAAATATTTGGTAAATGTAAAGGATATAATAGCATTAGATATTTCTGGGATATAGGGACATTAAGAATTGACGCTGAAGAATGGGTATTTAATAGGTCCTTTATTCCATTAAAATTTTCTTTAGACAAAAAGAATTATATTGGTGGAAAAATTGGTTTAAGAAATAATTCACAACCCCTACCAATTACTCGACTTTCTAAACCATTATATATTGGTATTGGAAGTTCTTGGTCAAGGGCATTATTATTAGAAAAATCAGAAGAAATTATTCGAATAATAGAAAATGGAATTACTTATGATCTTGTCGTAAGTATTGGTATTGTTGATGGTATAGCACGACAAATTACTATAAGACCTGCATTTATGGCAGTAAATGATTTAGGGTGTGAGTTATATTGTTCTGTTGGATCAAATTATAAAGATGTTATTATTATTCCACCAAAAAGTTCTATACCAATTTATGGGAATTTTTCTATATCTTCTTCTATTGATGTTTCTATTCGCTGCAAAGGTCCTTGGTGTCGTGTTCCTATTGATAAAGATACTCATTTCCAATTATTATTATTAAATAAAGAAAATGGACTAATAGAAGAGGGACAAGCTACAACTATTTCAATACATTATCAACAATCAGTTATCATTCATTTCCAAAAAATACAAGAAACAAGTAAGTATGTCATAGAAAATGATACTGATTATTCTATAACTTTTAAACATATTCATTCAGATGAACAAACTCAAATTGAACCAAGAAAATCACAACCTGTTGTATTTCCTAATACCTCACATATTTCTACTATTCAAATTAAATCTGAGTTTTCTGTTAATGAATTTGTTACTTATTCATTAGATAATCCAGAAGTATATGAAGCTAAAGCAGGAACACATGGAATTGTTTATCCATATACATGGATATTTAATGGTGTAAATAAATTAGTTTTTACAGACAAATGGGAAAAGATGAAAGGAGATATTGGTGGATTAATTGGAAAAGAGAAAATGAATACAACTGAATTTAATATAACAATTAATAAATTAGGAATTGATTTAATTGATGAAGATAGAGAAGAATTAGCTTATATTTCATTAAAAGATATTACATATAATAAACAAGGTACATTATTTAAAAATAAACATAGACTATTTATTGGACCAATACAAGTTGATTCTAATGCAAGAGATTGTTCTGTTGCTGTTCCTTTTGCAAGTAAAGGAATTAATATTTGTATTGATATTGTTTCTCAGCAAAATAATACTTATAAACATATCCCTCATTGTTTTATTCAATTCCAGAATATGTTTATTTCTTTGGAAACACCTTTCTTAAATCGAATTATCCATTTAATTAGACTCTTTAGTAATCCAAGTGATAATAAATCACTTCAAATTGAAATTCCTAAATTATATATTGAACCTATTCCATATTCTAATTCTCAAACAATCACTTTTGAAACACTACAAATTTCACCTGTTGATATTATATTAAATACTATGTTATCATCTTCTTCATTATTAAATATTGGATATAATTCATTTACAGCTCCATTATTAATGATAGGTAATTCTTTATTAACTATTAAATCAGCAAGAATTCATTTAAATGACTTTATAAGCAATAAATTATCAGCAACACCAGAACGTCTTAATCTATTTTTTATTGACTTTTATCGTTCTCAAGCAATCCAACAATTATTAGTTGCTGTTAGTTCAATGGAATTTATTGGAGCACCAGGAGTATTAGTCCATTCTGTCTATGAAGGAATAACTGACTTTATAACAATTCCTCAAAAAGAAAGGCGTTCAGGAAATGGAATTACTACTGGGTTAGCTAAAGGAACAGAATCATTATTATTACATTCTATTCATGGTATATCTTCTACTGCTGCATCTATTTCAAATACCTTTGGTAATTTAACTGCATCATTAACATTTGACGAAGATTACATCAAAGAAAGAGAAAGAAAGAAAAAACCTTTTTCAGCATCAGAAGGTATAGCTCAAGGATTAGGATGTGTTGTCAATGGAATAGTTGATGGAGTTAAAGGAGTTATTACACAACCAATTAAAGGTGCACAAACAAATGGAGTGAGTGGGTTTGTTGGAGGAGTGGGAAAAGGATTAATTGGGGTTGTACTAAAGCCAACTGGAGGAGTAGTTGATTTTGTATCAAAAATGACTGAAGGGATTGCAGAAGAATCAGGGGATATAATTCCTCGTTCAAGAATCCCAAGAGTTGGAAATAAAAGAAGACGTATTATGAGTTATAACGAAGAAGAAGCTAAAATTGCATGGATTCTTCAAAGAAAAGGATTAGGAGATTTTGTTATTTATGTCACAATCGATGATATTTGGGTTGTCTTAACTGAGACTTCATTTGTCATGATGAAAGAGAGTGGTGTTATGGTATCTCGACTATTCCAGGATCTTTCTATTAAAGTTGGACCTAGAACAGTGACATTTTCTCATTTTGGACATCAATTATTAACTGTGAGTTATAGACAAGGAAAGCATATGCGTAATTTCATAAGAACATCACAACAATTTATTAAACAAACCAATGATTAAAATTATAATTAAATTAAAGTTCATTTAAATAAACATTTGTTTAGTCAAAGAGATAAGAGAGTTAAATACTTTTTTTGTTGAGGGGGAAAAAACATTTAAAAAACAAAATAAAAATTTAAAGTAATTGGAACTCAAAATAAAAATAGTTATTCCTTCTATAATTCAATGTCTATCAAAGAAGGTATTCCAGAAAATATTGAAACAATGATTGAACCTCAACAAGAAAGTCAATTAATTGAATTAATTAAATTAATGAAAAAAGGTCAAGCAGATAGAGCTTATGCTGAATTAACAAATAACTTTCCAGAATGGATTGGGAAGAATACAAGAAGTAATACATTATTATTTAAAGCAGTTGAAATGGGGTTTGTGACTATTGTAGAAATCATATTACAACATTGTCCAACATTATTAGAAATTAAAGATCCACGAGGAAATACACCATTTTTAATAGCGATTGAAAAAGGACATTTAGACTTAGCAATGACATTACAAAATAAAGGGTGTTGTATTACAGAAACAAATTATTCTTCAGAAAATGCCCTTCATAAATTATCATTAATTAAACTTCATAAAAGAGATATTCCATTTGTTTCTTCTATTATTACTGCATTAACAGAAATAAAACAAATGAGAGATAATCTTAATGAACAAGAAAAATGGGCAGGACGTGGCATTGATATTAGAAATCAAACAGGTGAAACTGCTCTTCATACAGCAGTAAAAGAAGACAATGTTAAATTATGTGAATTACTTATTAAAGCAGGGGCTGATCCTACTGCATTAAATAATGATGGAATATCACCGATAGTTTATGCTGAAGCAAATGATGAAAGTTGTTTAAAAATTTTTAAAGAAAGTGAACAAGTAAAAGCAGCAATTAAATTCGCAGAAGAAAATCAAGAGATTCAATCAAGAAGAATTGAAAGAGGAGGTTCAAAAATCTTTACTGTAATGAATTCTATTGATGATTCTGATGATGATAGTAAAGATAAAGATAAAAAGAAAATTGGATTCTTCCAAAGTAAAAGTGAGAAGTATGAAATTTATATTGACAAACTACTTCAAGAAAATAAACCTTCTAAAGAATATATGTTAGAACAAAGGGCAGTTGGTGAAAATAAATTTAGGATATTGTCATTAGATGGTTGTGGAGTACGTACTCTTGTTCAATTAATTATTTTAAAGAGAGTTGTAGAAAATTTTCCACATTTCTTAGATAACGTTGATATGATTTGTTCTGTTGGCGCAAGTACTCTCCCAATATTAATGACACTTGTAGGATATGATATTGACACAGTCATTAAAATATATGAAAAGACAATGATTAAAGTTTTCTCATCTACTTCACATAAAGGAGGGGTTTTATCATATAAATATTCGAGTAAATTTATTAAGATTCTTGCTAATAAAATTTTTCAAGATAAGAGACTTTGTGATTTAAAAAGAGAGGTTGTTGTTCCAGTTATTAAAATAGATTCTGGTATTAATGATCCTAATAGAAGAATGATACCAGTATTATTAAATAATATTGTACTACAAAAAACAAATACTGATCTTGATGATAATATGATTAATAATGAAGACCTTTTATCTGATGTTGTATTACGCTCTTTTGCTACACCAGGACTATTTACTTGTCATCAATCATTTGTTGATGGTTCATTTCTTATTAACCAACCATTTGCTGTGGCAAAATCATTCTTTGACCCTAAAGAAAGTGTTGTATTAAGTTTAAGTGGGGGAACATATAAATCATATTTTGATGCTGAAAAATACACTGGGGCAGGTTATGTTCAATGGGCAACTTGTGTAACTGATTTATTTAAAACAGCAGGTGTTGCATTAGCTGATGAATTTTCAAAAGTATTATTTGGACCAAGGGCTCATAGACTTGATCCTAAATTGCCATGCCAAATTGATGATGACTCATTTAAAGATATTGAACTATTGAAAACAATAGCAGCTAAAGTTGATTTGTCTGCTACTGAAGAATGGATTTTGCAAAATTGGTAATTAAATTTGTTTTAAGAATTTATTGATTTAATATCAATTAAGTAAAGGAGTTGAATCCGTTCCTTGTTGAGTAGATTCTATTTGATTAGAATTCTCTTCACTTTCATTTGTTGAAGAAGAATCTAAATGATCATAAATATGAAATTCATCTGCGTTTTCATATTCCGTTGTATCAATTTTATATTTAATTGGCCACCAATTTAATTCACCAAATAAATGGACGAATGATGGAACAAGCAATGTTCTAACGAGGAAGGTGTCACTTAAGACAGCTAAAGTTAAAACAAATGCAAACAAATCTAACACAATAACACCAGCCAAAAACAATCCTGAAAATGCTACAGCCATTATAATACCACAAAAAGTAATCAAATATCCAGTTCTTTCTACTCCATAAATAGTTGCTAATGTTGTTGAATATCCACGAGTTCTATACTCTCTAATTCTTGAGAATAAGAAGATGTCATAATCTAATGATAATCCACAAATTATTGGCACTGATATAATTGGAACAACCCAATAAATTCCTTTTGTTTGATCTATTACATCTATAGAATCAAAGTAATCAGTACAGAATATTAAAGACGCTGCTCCATAAACAAATGTTAATGTAAGACACGTTGTAAAAACAACACGTAATGGAACTAGTGCACTCTTAAAGAATATTAAGACCATGATAAGAATTACAATAACTAACACTATTAGTACAAGAATAAAATACCTCATTGATGCATTTACACAATCTACTCCATCAACAATAATACCTTGAATAAACATTTTATACCCAAACTCTGACTCTAATTGTGTAAAATGATTTCTAATGTCTGCAATTAATAAAGTAGAGTTATTTGTTGGATCAACCTTTGGAATTAATTGACAATTAACCACTGATGAATCTTTACTTAAAAAACTTTCCATTGCATTTTGATATCCTTCTTTTGTCATAAGTATTTGGAGTTGTTTAGGTGAAATAACCTTACCACCAGCTGCATTAAAACAAATAACACTCGTACTATCAAATGCATATGACATTTGCTCACTAAAAACAGAAATCATTTGTTGAGTAAAGTTATAATACTCATTTGAAATAACATCCATTGTTTGAACATCACTTTCAATTAATAAATGGAATGGATATAATATTCCAATAGGGAAAGATTCTTGAATATGTACAAATCCTCTATTAAATTCTGTTTCAAGAGGAACAACTTGATTGTTATCTAATGTCCATTCAAATCTATATATAAATACACAGAATGGAATCATTATTATCAATCCTAAACAAAACATAGTTGCTGCTATTGGTTTTTTACTTTGGAAAGTTGCAAATTTATGCCACATTTGATCACCTACTCCTTGAAAACGGGCTCTTCGTTGTGTAAATTTTACACATTTTTTATTACATGGAATACAACTTTGTAATTTAAAGAACCTAGGGAAACAAAGGAATAGTGCTGGTGTCATAGTTAAATCAACAACTAATGTAATAGTAACACTTATTGTACATCCAATACCAATATATCTAACAATATCAAATGGAAATATTGCTATAACTGAAAAACAAAATAACATGACAAAACCACTTGTCCCTACAATCCTTCCTGATGTTCTTAACATATTGGAAACAGCATCATAGTATGATTGTTTTTTATTAATTTCTTCTGTGTATCTAGTTAACAAAAAGAGTGAATAATCAATAGCTGTTGCAGCAATTGTAGACATCATCATTGCTGGTGTAATACCAAATACATCTACAGTTACTGAAATAGGATACATCAATCCAAAACTTGTTAAAACAATTACAATAACATTCACTATTGGTATTATTAATAACACTGGTGATTGAACAACATATAATAAGATTATTAATGCAATTGGAAATACAATCAATTCCATTTTTTCTAAGGCTTTAATTACAACACTTTGAAGATCTATTCCTAATGCATCATACCCTGTAATAGCAAAATCATATCCCCCATCTCCATGTGCCTCTTTATATTCAGAAATATATTTTCTCATTCTTTTTACAAATGGTCCAACTGCAGTTGGTTCTTCTCCACCAAGTTCTATTTCAATTAAAGTAACTTCTCCAGAAACCATACTCTTTGCCATAAACTGTGCAATAAATTGTTCAATAAAAGTAGAGTATTGAGGAACAATATACCTTCCAACAAT